TGCCTGGTTATAAGTGTTTGGATTGAAACCTCTAGTCAGCTATCTTGGGTATATGACGTTGAAGGAGTACCAGTTGGGTCGATTTCACCACTATAAGTATTGCTTCCCTTGAAATCAAACAAGGTAGGATCATACTGAATATTATGTTCAGTGCAATACCTTTCTACATCATTTGGCGATCGTAGTCTTTGATTAGACCCCCTCTCAAAATAGTACACATCCGTACGAGTGCCGTCTGGCCTTGGAACAGGTTTACGAAGCCAAGTTACTTGTCTCAATGTAGATTGAGTGTCAGTGCCAGGTATAGAAGAGGGTACACTTGGTATCGGTTCTTTCCTCTATTTCAGGAAAATAGCCAACTGGAGTATCAGTAGATTGGAACTCTACCCTCTTCTTCAGATTCCAAATCAGGAAGGGTGCCCAGTGCAGCTCCACTGCCACTTTTCTGCATTCCAATTGACTCTTTAAAAGTAGCATTTAAGGTTTCTACTACCTTTTGCTCATTTTCCAACCAAATCTTGTACCCTTTTGTTCGTACACTGTACCTAATCAATCAGCCCTTCGTTGCCTTTGGATCAAGCTTAGAATTTCTTTTAGCCTTTGGAATTCCCACATAGGCAATCGTTCCAAATGCCTTAAGGTGACGTACTGATGTAGTATACAAGTCGGTCCGCTTAGTATACAATTCGAATGGGGTTCTATCTTGGCCCTTATGACAAATTCTATTAAATGAATATGCAAAATACATTACTGCATCTGACCAAAATTCAGGAACTCATTCCACTATCATGTAAAATTGCACGTACATTGTTGAGAGCTGTCTGATTAAATCTCTCACAAACTCCATTCTGTTCTGGAGTATATATATCTGTAAATTCGTGCTTTACACCATTTTTATTACAATATGACCTGAATTGATTCATTATCATATTCTCGTCCCATTGTCAGTCCTAAAGTATTTCAACTTAAGGTTCAAAGATCTTTCAGCACGTGCTATATGCCTTTCAAATACTTCAAACACCTGACTTTTCTCTACAATGGGGTACACTACCACATAACGAGAATATTCGTCAATAAAGGAAAAATGAAATAACGTTCACTATTCCTACCTGGAATGTTAATAGGTCCCCATACATCAGAAAAAACCCTTTCAAGCGGTCTTCTTTACTTGAATACCTTCTAAAGGTCTATAGGAGATTCGTCTTTGCTTATTGATTTGGCAATGTTCACAAAACAAATTAGGTGAGTGCTTTAACACAGGAAGACCTCGAACTGAATGTCTCTTACTAGTCCTGACAATAGCACCATAATTTATATGACCAAACCGACCATGCCATAATTCACTATTGTTATGCTGAACTGTGGATGCCTCAAATTTCACAGATTTGCCCCCCTTTTTCACTATTTTCGGGAATACATGATAGTTACTTCCTATCAACTTAGCCTTGTACAAAGTTTCATTTTCATCATCAGTAACTTTTAATTTGCCCATTTTTACCATAAAATCTTGCTCCATTGATATCCACCTTAGGTCCAGATATTAAATTTCGTCTCAGTTCAGGTGAGTATAAAACATCTTTAAACAAAATAATTCTATCCCCAAATTTCATTTTAACAGTACCTTTCCCATGAATTGGAAAAGTTACCCCATCAACAGCTACTAGCATATTCTCATTCTTCACAGGAGAAAAAGTATCGTACAATTCACGATTTTTACAAAAATGATGAGATGCAGCAGTATCAAAAATCCAACTATCATCATTTTCCTCCAAATTGTTAACATTAGCTTGAGCTATAAAATGGGACTGAGCATGGGAATTATTTTTACCTTTACACAACTTGGGTTTATTCTTACACTTAGGAGATGTTTTATTACTACTAGATACAGCTGAGGAAACAGAAGAAGCAGGTGAGGGTGATCTGGAAAAATTACCTTTCATTCTACAGTATTTTTGAATATGACCTGAACGGCCACATTTATAACACTTGAGCCCTTTAATCTGCTTAAATTTGGGTTCACAGTGAGTACTTTGAACTTCTATAGTGGTCTTATTGGAATTTTCCCTATCTATCTCTCTTAAATTAAGACGCGTTTTCCTCTGCTAGTATTTCAAGTTCAACATTTTTAAATATGAACTTTTCATCTGGCCACCTCAAAACATTCTGAACTACTTGATCATATTTATCTGGAAGAAAGAACCTAAGAAACTGAAAACATATATATACATCTCTCTTACAGCCTGATTAATATCAGCTAATTGTTCAGTTATTCGTTTTAATCTAGAAGAAAAGAAAACTAATACTTTCATTTGGCTTAATTTTACAATTTAAGAACTCTGAAAACAAGGACATATGTCTAGATCGATAATCTGGCTGAAAGTATTTGGCAAGCGTATTCCATGCAACTACCGGGTCATCAATTTCACTTATCAAGTTTCTATATTCAGGGCTTACATTCATATAAATTAAAGATAATGCCAAACGACTTCTATTTTGATAGTCGGCAACAATTTCTTTTGTAATACCCTTAACATCATTTAAATCAGGACATTTTTCAATACCTTTAACCAAAAGCCATGCATTTTTCTCATTTAAGACAAACTTCATATCTTTAGACCATGTAAAATAATTACATGCATCAAGTTTAGCAATATTATGCATAACATTAACAGTAGCCATATTTGAATTTCAACAAAAACCGCCCCCCAGTCTCTTAAGTCCTAAATTAATTTTTAAACTTCAAAAGTCTGCACTAAAAATAACTCAGGGGCTGGGCCCATAACCAAAATGATGCAAAACCAAAGTTTAAAGTTATAAAAACATTTAGCAGAAATAGCAATAGAAGCTGCCTAAGGTTTATATACTGTGCAGACACAGAAGACAAAAGTTTTAAACTTAACCAATTTATTAACAATATATATATAAATAAAAGTACAATAAATAAGTTTGATCAATACCAAAAACTTAACGAGTGTAACATAATAATTATCAAAAATTACACTTAGTTAACTATTCATTAACCCCAAGGGTTTTTCCTTTAAAGAATATTACACTATTAATGATACAGCAAATATATTACCTGATCTTTGAATACTGGCATTCAGTGTGCGAAAAACATATCACAGAACAAAAACGATGCGATTAACATGAATTTCACTTTGCTATAAATAGGTCCATGCTTTTGGCCTCGAACTTATAAATAAAATACTGATAAACTGTTCAATGCCAAAAACCAGTTACAATCCTACCGGTTATTTTTTATAGTGATATTTTGGTAGTTGGGCGCATCAATGAAGCTTGGCATCAAAATTCAAAAATGGGTGAGTGGCTGACAGCAGAAATGATGACACCGAAAGATTTCATTTTTTAAAACTCCATATCTTTATTCACTTAAAACGGCAGATCATTATTCCTTTTGGTTTTCCAAGATTGCTTTTCTCTGCCTGCCATTGTAATATGCTTCTGCTCTTTCCATCTGTCTTTGTTTGAATAATATCACTCAGTAAATTTAAAATTAATCGCATTTAGTCTAAATTACTATCACATAGGCAATCTTGAAATATCAAAAGGAATAATGATCTGCCATTTTAAGTGAATAAAGATATGGAGTTTTAAAAAATGAAATCTTTCGATGTCATTATTTCTACTGTTAGCCACTTAACCGTGCCCGTATTTTGATGCCAACCTTCACTGATGTGCCCGACTGCCAAAATATCATATATATATAATAAGTCCATAATCCGGACTCTTTGGGACTTCGGCGATTCCGGATTACGGGTCTTTCCGGATTATAGATCATCAATTTAAATCTGGTAAGATGGCATGCAGAAATTATACAATTAAAAATAAGAAACTGTAATTTATGAAATAAGAGCAATTATGATCTAAAGGGTATCAAAATTTACAAAAAAAAAAAAAGGCTTAATATTTATTTGTTTAATTTATTAAACATTTCTTTCAATGTAATTTGTTTAAGTTGCTTCGTTTTTTGTGCTAATACTTTCTCTTTAATTCTATAAACAGACTTAAATTCTTGTTCAGTTATAAAGTTCCACTATTCAAGTCCTGTAATTGTTGTGTCGAGAATACCGACTAACTTGTCAATGGAAATTCTTTTTGTTTTCAGTAACCTCTGTGTCACTTTCTTCACTATCAAAAGCGCACATGGGTAAATGCTTTACTGGCTTTATGTGCATCCGCAGCGGACACGCGCATTAAACATGCATGCGTAAGTTTGTGGTTTTGAGATCCGGATTATAGATCATTCCGGATAATGGACGTCCAGATTACGGACTTTGTACTGTATATATATATATATATATATATATATATATTGTTTCATAAAAGTAAAATTAAATCAATTCTCTTGTGCCATTTCTGCGAGGAATGAGATTTGAATTTAACAAATATTCTATCATTCATATAAAGCTAATTTAAATCAAATTTAAATTAAAAATTATATTTAAATTTGCTTTAAATTATCTTTATACAAACGATAGAATATTTGTTAAATTCAACTATATATATATATTAAATTTCTATATAGATATATATAGAGAGAGTTGTATATGGTGCTAAAATGTGTTTGCAGTTTTCAAAAGTTTGTAAGCTTTTCTAAAACCTTAACTGAGTTGATTTGCAAATTTTTGTTCATAAATTTCTGCATTTGATGTATTCAGCTTCAGTTTTTCCCTTTAATTTTTTCTTTCCTCAAATTGTATCTGAATTTGTAATGGTAATCAAAGTGTTTTAAAAGCTAGTTAAAAAACCTTTTACCTAAGTTATTTAAAATTGTACCAAAAAAAAAAAAAAAAAGAAAGAAAGAAAGAAAGAAAGAGGGAAGTCACCATTAAGCTAATTAATTTTTGTATTGTTGTTTTAGTTATTGATTTTATTTATGCATTATATATTCACTTTATAACAACACCGCGATAATTTTATGAAATATAGTTTACTATATGTTTGACAAAATATATATTTAAAATCAGAAATCTGCCTAGGTTTCGAAAAGGGAAGGAGATTCATCACTTATGCAGCTAAAGGAAGAGTTTCGCACATATGAAGCTCTTAGAAGGGAGCATGATGCTCAGATAGTACAGATAGCAACTGAGGCAGGGTTACGTATTGCACCAGAGCAATGGTCCTCACTTCTGTATGGTGATACAGCTCATAAATCACATATGCAGTCCATTATTGATAAGGTACAGTAAAAAGTTCCTAATTTTCATTAAAGTTCCGTACTGTATTTATGTTCAAATGCATGTACACTCTATTCAATTTAAATTTCATTCCATCTGTCAGAATACAAATTTTATTAGTGTATAAATACTGTGTATGTGCATAGAAGAATGTCAAAAAATATTTTATATTAGGTTCTAATATGAAGTATTAATATGACCAACATATTTTTAGTTTTAGAGGGCTCAAAAATTGTCAGGTAATTTTTTATAATCCTGAATTTTCTTCATAAAAACAAGCAGGCTGGGTGATATGTTGTATATAGGGCCACAGACTTATAGAGCCTTTACGATTGTGATAAATGGCTACGCTTTATGCAACTGAATTTTTTTTCTGTAAAGCTCTTTATGTGTGTAACTTACTAAGATAAAAAAAATGCAGTTGTGTGTATGCAAGAATTTGTTATGATGAACATGTTGTATGCAAGAATATAAAATATAGAGTTGAGGAAATGAACTGCTGTTCTGTGAGGGATTTGGCTGCATGATGTTTAAAGAGATTGAATATTGTAAATTAGAACTTAATATTAAATCATTAATCTGTATAATAATTACTGCCATGGATATGCATGGAGCAACCCTTTTATTGCCATGGAATAAAGAGTGTCATGTATCAGAGTTACTGCCATGGAATGAGAAGAGCCAAATATTAGGAGTAAAAGAAGTCGCATATTAAAATTACTGTCATTGAAAGAGAAAGCATGGAAGTTACTGCCATGGAATAAAACAAAATGATTGAGTAATTGGGAAATCTAAACCACGATGTTTCTTTTTTGCACAAAATTGTTATGTGCTTAAAATTTTATGGTTACTGATTGTCATAATGTAAGAAGTGATATAAAATAAATGCTGGTAAAGTGCCTAGCAACTTTTTTAACATTTTCACCAGTATGTAGGTAAAAGAATAGCTGAAGCATTGCTGGCGTTTCATTGACATTCTTCCCCATTGAAAATGATGAAACCCTTCACAAATGTGTGCTTTAACTATTTACTCATAAAAGTCTTCATTACCATTGAAAGTTTTAGCTTTATTTTGCAGTTCATCTTACTCTAAGAATAAGTTACTTCAGTTCTGCAGATTTGTGATATTTGCTGCCAGAGTGCTTGAATTACACCCAGCTTGTGACATTTAAATTCCAGAAATTTGGTTTCCCCCTTTTTTATATTTAAAGAATAATTACTGAAAACTTATTTGGGGTGTTTGAAGTTTAGCATACAAATATATCAACATACATTATTTGAGAAAGTTTACAAAGAAATTACATACAGTAGTAGAAAATCAGTAGAACAGAACTTTGTGTCTTATTCAAATACAGATCACCATATGTGTATTAAGTTTTATGAGTGGTTTTTGTGATTTCTTTTTTAATTTTATCGAATTTTATATAAAGCGACATTTTAATAAACAATAAATTGTAAAATTCCGAAGTTTGAGTGACAGAAACTAATACTTCGGTTGTAAAATGCATTTCCTAATATTCATACCACTAATACATGCACACACGCTCACACAAGGAAAAAAAAAATCAGCTCAATAAATGAAATCAATTGTAAAACTATAACAGATATTGTGTTGGAATAGAATTCCATATCCTGTCAACAGTAGCACCTAAATATCAGTTTGTACACCATGCATCATTTTATTCTGAGCAATACCAGAATCTGATGGTCAACTTTGTTTTCATTTTCCTATGTTATCTCCTGAGGCATTCAAAGCAGTGGTGATGCAAAATTTATTAAATAAGCAAAATTCATGAAAAGATGGTGCTCGATGCTATGTCTGAAAAGGAACTAAGTGTAGAAAACATTTCCATTTTAAAAATTGGTTTGTTTTTAAAAGCTTTTATATGAGCAGGGGGAAAAAAATGTTTTGGAGTCTAGAAGTGCTTTCAACTCCTAACTAAGCAAGGATGAATTAATTGGCCCCTGTTTAAAAAAAGGGTAAGTTTTTTTTTTATTGCTGAACAGTAGTAAAATTACAGTCACAAACCATCAGAATAAATAAAAAATTCTATGGAAAATACAAAAAAGGGTATAAAGTCCATTGTGTAATAGCGGTAATAGGATATGGTATCTCAACATTTAGGAATTATTTTTATTCACATCTGCATATAATTTAATTTTACATACGAGGGCCATCCAGGAAGTAGATTACGTTTCCGTCTGTGTCCGCTAGGGGCGGGGCTAGCGCGGCCATCTTGGGGTCAGAGCGTTGCGCAGCTCAGTCTGCATCTAGCCGTGCTAGTGAGAGGTTCGTGCTGTGCTCCGTTCAGATACTGTGACGGTTTGAAATGTCTGCGTTAATTGAAAATCCCGCGAGCTGCGAGGTGCGCTCAGTAATAAGGTTTCTGACTGCAAAAAACTGTAAACCGATAGAAATCTATCGGCAGCTTCCTGAAGTGTATGGGGACAACATTATCACTGAAGGTGGAGTGCGTCAGTGGGTCATAAGATTTCAAAATGGCCGAACCAATGTTCACGACGAAGATCGAAGTGGGAGACCCAGCATAGTGACCGCCGAACTTCTCGAAAAAGTCGATGCTAAAGTCCGTGAAAATCGAAATTTCACAATAACGGAACTTTCTTTGAGTTTTCCACAAATTTCGCGAAGTTTGTTGCACGAAATCATCAGCGAAAAGCTTGGTTACCACAAGTTTTTGTGCAAGATGGAAGGCAAGAAGAGGTAACGAAGTGGTTGAAGGCGCAGGCGGCCGAATTTTTCGACGAAGGAATTTCCAAGCTCGTACATCGCTACAATAAATGCCTTAATTTGTATGGTGACTATGTAGAAAAGTAGTATTTGAGTGTGGCTTTCATCTGTATATAATAAAATTTGTTTCCTATACTTTGTTTATTTTTTTATTCCAAAACGTAATCTACTTTCTGGATAGCCCTCGTAATTTGGAATGTAAAAACGTAGTTAAATCATTCATAAAAATAAATTGAGTGCACGTCTATTAATTTTCTGTTCCCCATTGCTCTATAAAATTCAAGAGTAATATAAACAAAAACATTACTCTTTGTGTTTTGAAATGTGTTCTTGTTATGAATACTAATTTATCTAACTAAATGAACATATTCATGAATTCAGAGTGCTCAAAACTAAAGTAAATTGCTAATAGTTTTTCTGTTACATATAATATAGTTATTGTTTCCTCTTTTTTAACTGCTGTTGAATTAAGTGTTATAAACTATTTTCTCGCTTCTTCCAGCATGCCTTTGTGGTGTAATGGTAGCACACTCGATATGTATTTGAGAAGTCCAGATTCGAGTCCCATTGAGGGCATTGCATATTTTTCACTTCTGCTTCCAAATAACTTAATGATTTTACCATGGCACCCAAACTAAAAAGTGATGGACTTTAATTCGTCAGTGCTAGGATTTGGCATTTGGGTCCTTTAATCCCCAGTCATCCTTTAAAAAGGGGTAGTATATAAGGTATTTTCTTCCTCCTTTCTAGTGTGCCTGTGTGGTGTAATGGTAGCACACTCGGTGCATATTCGAGAGGTCCAGTTTCAAGGGTGAGGGCATTGCGAATTTTTCATGTCTCTTGCTTTCAAAAAATATGAGTGTACTCTGTGGATGTTGCCCTATCTATTACTATGGTAAATTGGCAGTCTACTGTATTGCATTTAATTTGTATATAATAAATATAGCTCCTATTTTCAAAAACTGATTGAAATTTTTCATTTGTGGAGTTTATGTAAAAACCTATATGAAATTTTTCAAATCTTTATGTGCATTATATTTTAATACTCTGCTGCCAAAGCAAAATTTATAAGTTCTATGTGCACCTGAAAAGAAAATGTATGAAAGCACTTCAGTATGAATGAAATCAGTTAATTCTTTCCAAGCAACAACCAGTCCATAAATAATTTTTGTTGCCAAACCCAGAAACAAAAACTTTTGACACTTCAGTGTACGTATGATGTCATGATTTAAATTTAATATAACAACTTTTTCTCAATATCAATAAATGAATTAATGTGGCAATAACATATCATGTCAATTATTGTAACCTGAAACACACAAGTTTCCAACAGCAGCTATTTATTTAAAATGCTGACATTAACAAAAACTTCTTGACACATACAATGCATCACATGCAATTGCATGCTTTCTTCAGTGTCAGAATATGACCTTATATGATAATAATATGTGTAATGTTTAGCAATGCTATTTTTATTTCAAATTTTTTTAAACTTACAATTTTTTTTAAAACTCTACAATTTGAAAGATAGCAGTAGAAACACTTTTCAAAATACAGTATTTTTATCTCCAGCATGTGACACTGAAGCCGCTTGGAAAAAATAAGTGCGAAAATTAGCGTTTTCAAAGTTTTAGTTAATATCTTGGTTGATTAAAGTGATAGGAAGATGAGAATGGTCAAAATGGCTTCCTAGGTATTTTTAGAATCTGGGGGTATCTCTCTTGAAACTCAACTCCCCACCATTTCAGAGGAGATGATGTTATTAACAAACAAAGAGACAGATGCACACAGATTTTAATAGTATCTCATAATAAACTGTGCATTTTTGTAACAAGTGAATATTTCAATTTTTTTTCCATTTTCAGTTGCAAACTCCACAGTCATTTTCTCAAAGTGTTCAAGAATTAGTCATAGCATTGCAACGTACTGGTGATCCTGGTAATTTATCTGTCCTGAGGCCACATTTGGAATTATTAGCTGGTATTGATCCAAGCCCAGGTGAATATTATTTTAAAGCTTTTTATGGGTATTCGGTTTTACTCTTCCAAAGCAATCTATTATTTAATCATTATATTTTAGATAATGTGAGCAAAGTATAAGTTGTGAGAATGCCTTAAAAAGTAAAACAGATTTTTCCTCATATCCCAAAAGAAAATCGATTTGTAAACAAAAGACTGACAGATTTTCTGACATTGAAATGTTTTCGCTTTTCGCATGTGCTCAGAGCTAGTGAGATTTCAAATTATACAAGAATGTTGCCTAAAAATATGTCACATAATGGAGGAGATGCTTTTCAGTGTTGTTATTCAGACATTGCTTTAAATTCGGTAAATCTTTTCACATCTGCGTAATGGAAGGTATGAATCATGAGTGTCACAAGATAATTTTTTTAATACAATTAATGCTAAATCATTCCCTTGGCTTTAGATGTGACAGAATAAGGTTGGCATTTAATGTGTTAATGCTGTAGTGCAACAGTTTTTATGTAATTGATTGTTGTGCCTTAAACTTTGTAAGTGCTGTATCAGAAGTTTACCAGTAAAATGTGCAGATCGCGTTAAGTTCTTCTAAAAGAATTTTACTTATGAAACATGTTAATAACGCTAGTGAACTATAGGAATGTTTAGTAGGCAATTCTGCACTAAATCTGAATTGAATTAAGAAAGGTATTTTATATTGTTTGAATCGCTCAAATTAATACATTTTTCATTTATTTATATGAATATAAATGAAGGGAGCTGTTAGAAAAAGTGAATACCATTCAATCTGTACTAAAAAATGCAGTAAAAATCCAGGATAGGTGATGCATTAAAATAAATTAAGCAATTTAATAGTGACAAGAATTTTAGAATGTAACTTCATCTGTCTGTGTATAAGTAGTTTGTTGACAAAACTAGTATCATCTGTTCAGTAGAGTGCATATTATGCATTAATACAAACCAATATATAGTAAAATTAATGTATTTATAAAATTTCAGAAGTAACTAAGTAATAATATTTTTTCACTTCTTGTACAATTACCTCATAAGTATTTTCTGTGAACTTTTTAAGGTATGAACTGAAGTCTAAATTATAATACTGTGAAAATTATAAGTTGGAGCTGAGAGAAAAATACAATCTATCATTATTACATTATTTTTTATTCATTTCAAAATACACTCATGTGCAAAATTAAAAGAATTTGCAAATTATGTCTATTTTTATGAAAAGTATTAATTATGTAAATATTCAGTTGGATAAATTAGCGTATATGTGCATGCCTGTAGAACTGTGTTTCTGGATAGGGATATAAGCACATGAGTACTTTTCGATGATTTGTGTACTCGTATTCTTTCATGACATTCGCCGTATTTCTTCCAACAGTTTGATAAACTTTATAAGGAGTTGGATAAAATGAGTAGCCACGACCATTTAATGAGATAGATAATTGTTGGTAGACTGGAGGCAGGCCAGTCACAAGCACAGGTGGCTACAGAGCTTAGTGTAATGCCCAGTGTTGTCTGCAATTGGTGGAAGCAGTATCAGGACACTGGATCCATACCAAGAAAACCTGGACCAGGTTGACCAAGATCCACAATGATGAATGAGGATTCTTATTTGGCACTTTCAGTGCAGTAATACACAATTCTATATGCTACAGCACATAGAATTGTGTGCTACAGCGCATAGAATGCAGCTCACTTCAGAACTGTCACAGTTCTCACGTGAGCTGTATGCTTTCACTGGAACCTGAATTTCATGGTCTATTAATTGTGCAAATGCTTCATGAGATAGAGCTGTATGCCAGAAGATTTGCTGTTTGGGTTCCATTCATTGCAGCACACAAGAAACCACATTTAGCATGGTGTAGACAACATGCACCTTGGACCCGAATTCAGATGAGATTCAGCCTGGACAATGATTCTTTGTGTACCTGTACTTGGAGAGAGCCTGGAACAACATACCATCCCTCTCTCATCAGGGAAAGGGATCATTATGGTGGCATAGATGTAATTGTTGGAGCAGGCATTATGTTGGATAGCCACACACATCTGCATGTGTTTGACAAAGGCTGCATAGTTGGTATGATATATAGAACCATATGTTTGACCTTTCAGGGGCGTAGTTGGTCTTGGGTTCTTGTGAATGGATGACAACACTTGTCCACATATAGCTCAGTGGGTCAATAATAACCTGGAAAACAAGGATATTCTCTGCGTATAGTGACCAGCCTATAAAGCTTGTCTGGAATGCTCTTGGAATGACAATTTCATCACACTTTCTCTCTCCGAGAACCATCCCAGAGTTGAAAAGAGCCTTGCTGCAGGAGTGGGATCAACTGCCACAGGGATTCCTCAACTGCCTCTTGTCCAATATGCTGTCATGCTGGAAGACCTGCCCGGCTGTGAGAGGGAACCATATCATAGATTAGACACATTTCAGTTCAATATCAATGTGAATTTTTGACATTCCTGTGTTATGAGCTTTACTGATAATCCATGCATTCATAAATGGTTTTTAAAAGGTACTGCTCTTTCTCTATTATAAATGTATATTCATACCAAATTTCATTAAAATCTTTGTACTAGTTTTTCAGAAGTTCAACATAATGTGCAAATTCTCTTAATTTTGCAGACAAGAGTTTATTGTTTTAGATGCTATCTTTATTTCTTAATAAAATGTCTGTGATTGAAGAGCTCAGTAGAGAAAAGACATATGCCAACAAAATAGATGCTTTAATAGAGAAAGAATTTTGTCAAAATCACTTCCTTCCTAATGTGTGACTGGTATTTGGAATCACTAGTACCTTAATGGATGTGATGAGCATTGCCTTCATACTATTTATTACAGGAGGGAAATAACAAAGTATGGAGCCATTTCTAGTGTTTAGTAGTCTTTCTCTTGTGCATTGCAGTAAAAAATGTGGTTGGCATATTCTCAAATTGAAAGCAACACTAACTCGCAATTAATTCATAGGCATGTTTCAAAAGATAGTAAAAAGTATAAATAATAAGACTAGAAAACAAACTAAATTTTTAAGTTTCGAATGCTGAAATCTTCCAAATCATTAATTTTGAGAAATGCAGTAATACTGGGGATAATGATGATACGGAAAACGTAAAAATTAGCTATGCTTTGGTCTTGCTTTGTTTTGGTTACGGTGAAACACACAAAGTGCTCTGTGCCTAAGGAAATGAATGCCTTTGTGGAAGACCTCTTAAAAGAATTCATTTCATACATATGTTAACACATTGGGAAAACCATGAAGGTTCCCATGTTGTCATTCATTTGGTCCTGGTTATCTCAGATAATCGAGATTCTGTTGTATATATAAAATTTAAGATGTTATATTGAACCTACAAGAAGATAACACAAAGCTAAGTTGAAAAATATTACCATGAAATACACCATGTTTCAAAAAGAATATACGTATTACAAAGTGTTATTTTGTCCAAACTATCGATCACTGTGCATCGGCTCGGCTATTGGTGAAATGAATACATAGTCTACTTTATATTAATAGCTACTAGATGTCAGTTGTCTTCCGTTTTGCTTGGTAACTGTCACATGTTTAAAATAGCTACTCCGCAGCAGAAATCATTTTGTATTCTCAAGTTTGCGAAGTGCAATTCCGTGATTACAGTGCAAAGATGTTTCAAGTTTAGGTACCTAAGTGATCCTCCGAATGGATGAAACATTAGCAGATGGTATCGACAGTTTGTAAATTCAGGATGTGTATGTAAAGGAAAGAGTCCTGGCTGCTCTCGTGTTCCTGACGAAAATGTTCCACGAATTCAAACTGCTTCCCAACAGAGCCCTTCAAAATCAACTCGCTGTGCCAGTGGGATCGATGCTATTGACAGTGCACATTTCGCACAACACATCGTGTTCAGTGATGAAGCGTTTTTTTCATGTTAGTTGCCATGTAAGCAAACAATATATTCAAATTTGGGGCCTACAAAACCCACATGCAGCCATTGAACATGTACGAAATTCGCCCAAAATCAATGTGTTTTGTGCGATATCCCTTTATGGCCCATTCGTCTTTGATGGAAACATGGTTAACAGTCAACAGCATCTCGCTATGTTACAAAACTTATTGTTTCCGAGGCTGCACGAAGACAACTTCATTTTTCAACAAGACGAAGACAACTTTATTTTTCAACATCCCCCCTTCACTGGTGTCACCAAGTGCGCAATTATCGGAATGAAACCGAACCGTTGGATTGGTTATCAAGGAACAGGCGACTTAGCATGTCTCAGCTGGCCTCCATGGTCACTGGATTTGACACCCTGTGACTTCTTCCTATGGGATTTCATTAAAGACAACATTTATGTACCCCCACTCCCACAGAACCTAGAAGAGGTGAAGAACCGGATCCGTACTGTCATAACGTCACTGACGACGGACATGCTTGCCCAAGTATGGTAGGAATTTGAGTATCGATGTGATATTGTTTGTGTCGCTGATGGAGGACATATCATCTGTAACATCTGTAATCTACAGAGAGGTTCATACATAATATGTGTGTAAAGTTTCATATTCGTATGTCATACAGTTTAATAAACATATGCATCCGAAATACGTATATTCTTTTTGAAACATGCTGTATAATAATGCCAATTTTATTTCAATTAGAACAAAACCAATCTTTATTTTCCCCCTGTGGCAGGCTCTCACCTTTATAGGCATTAGCCAATACTAAGGCTAAAAGTGGTGGTCGCTTTATTAGGGAGGCACTGTTAAATGGGCCACTGTTGCCCTCTATGAAGGCGTTGACAAATTACATTCATGCCTTCTCCGAGATTCGAACCCAGGCCTTTTGGTACTGCTGTCAGAGTCAGTAACCACGTTCCCATCTTGACAGCACAAAACGGAAACTGTTGTTTGTTTTTAATCTCACTTACAACTTAAAATATTTTTACGTCTTACTTACACACTATTTTTATATTTGACTTGTATCATATCGTAAACTATAACTATATTCATATCTTGCATATGTAGTGTTTTTATAGTC